ATAATTAAATGTGGATATGTTGCACAACATGTAAGTGCAATAAGAAAAAAAACCACTGCTAGAAACATAATATAAACAAAAGCAATATGTATAAGCGTAAATATATAAACATTTCTATGACAATAATTATTTGGATTTTCCAATCCAAATTCAAAACTTGGCATAAATACTTTCCAAGTCCAAAATTGTCCAACAATAAACCAAGCAAGAAGAAATAAATTTAAAACAGCATCTGTGAAACCAGAACCATCTAAAAGGAAATATTTTTTTTTTACAGAATAGTTTATAAAAAAAAGAAACAAAGAATACAAACTATTTTCAGTTTCTTCTTCTTGATCAAGTTCAACTCCTTCTAATTTTCGCATACGTCTTCGACGAAACTGTTTCCATAATAAATTGAGAACACGTACAAGACCCATTGCACCAACAACAAGTAAATAAACTGGTAGATTTGGCTGGATTGGACAATCATTTAAATATTTAACACCTAAAATTCGGAAGAATTTAACTAGAACAAATTAAATAATAAAATAATAAATTCTTACCCATAAAAAAAAGTATTACTTGAAAAACGGTCAACAATGCCAATAGAACCGTAGCTCCATCTAAACGAACAACAAAACCATTATAATTATAAAAAATAATACTTAACAAATTATGCCATTCGTAACCAAGTTCTTTCTTAGATTGTTATGTTTCATAATTTTTCCATTTCAAATATTTCTTTATATACGAAGGCCCATCACCTTGTCAAAAACCTATTTTCACCTTCGAACAATGGATCTGACTGAAAATTTCAGAGAATGTGTGTTCCAATCTTAATAGTTCACAGTAAAAAATCTCGACCTTTGCGTGACAAGATTTTGTCCTCCAAATTTAATAATACAGATTTCGAGTTGTCTTTAAAATGGAGTCAAGATCAGTCTCTACAACTTAATAAAGTTCAATATTTCAAAATATTGTTTCTTTACTTGTAATGAAATTTTCTCTCAAAAAATTCGAAAAACTAGGATACCTCTACGGAAAAGTATTCATTTTTTTCAAAAAAGTAAGTCGAAAATCGCAACTCTGACTTTAGTAAGTTATGGAGCGCAATGTTCTTTTCAGGTTAAAACCTTGCTGAACTTTTCAGCATGTAAAATGACTGAGAAATTGTTGGCATAAGAGCAGGAGATAATAGAAAAATGCGAAACAAAGTTTCATCTAGAAGCCCAAGCTTCTTTCTTAAAAAAAAAAAAACTATAGTAAATAAATTTGGTAAACCATATTGTTTTTGGAAGTAGACATCGATTGTTATCCAACTCCGTCAAATTCTCAAAATGGAGTTTTGAAAACTCAAAAACTTGGGCATTGTATAGTAATAAAGTTTCTTATTTTAATAGGTCAGTCATAATTTAGTATTTATGAGCCTGTGATGACATTTTATGATGAAAGCGGTTCATCACATGTTGGAGTAATTGAATAGACCCGTCGCTTTCAAGATGGATAATTAAACATTGATGATGAACCTACGGTGGATCAACTTATTAGTGCAACGGAAAAAAAAATTCTTCAAATTTTTGAAATCCTAATACTCAATGGTCATCGAACCACAATTTAGTAAATAATGAGCACTCTAGGCATTTTATTTGACATTGCAATCACATTTTGCCTGATCAGTTACAAATGGCTAAAGTCAATTCAAGGTAGATACTACATTTACACAGGTGTGATTAACACGACAAACATGTTCAAGCATACCAAAAACTTCTGACTCGCTATTCTACTGAAAGAAACGATCTTCCTTTTTCGAATTATAACTAGCAATGAATCGCAGACTGATTACTTTGAACATGTATCAAAACAATCATAACGATAGTGAAAACAAGCTAATTTATAACCACCGGCAAGACTGACAGAAATAAAGTCTACTGACAAGATTTTATGTTCATTTTTCTTGAATTCTAAAGAGATAATTCTTAACCAATCCATAACATTGGTTGTGACAACCCTCAAAGTATATTGCGTAGTTCTTTTAATAACAGAACTTCATTCAGACATTAGAAAACAACAGCGAGGTTCAATTCTGACTGTTGTCATTTTTCAACATGGCAATGTTTCACTACATACATCACATTCTCGTTTCTTATCTTCGTCATGAGTTATAATATGAATTGTTTTGTTATCCACCTTATTCACCAGATCTGTCTTTCAATGATTACATTCTGTTTTCACTTTGAAAGGACCAATTCAAAAGGAGACATTCTAATTATCGCAGTACATTACATCAATATTTGAACTGTCCATCTGAAAATAACTTCAAAACAGTGATACAAAAGATTCTAGACCGTTGGCAAAGTGTATTGCAACAGAAGGACGATACTTCGCAAAAGAAAAAACACATTTACCATTATCATTCACTCAAGTTTTTTTTTTTCTTAATAAAACCGGCCTCGAAACTTATTGAGCATCCTACGTATTCTCTCGCATCTCTCTATAATTTACCCCGAAGGGTTTTCTGACGAACATAATTTGTATATAATATTTTCAAGTTGATAAAAACTTCCGTCACTTGAATAGTTAAAAATAGATCTATGAAAAAAAAAATACTTGACCGAAATATTGCAACAATCTTTTAACCTACATCGATTTGTAGTTTCAGTTTTCTTTTTAGTGCATAGATATCCAACAATATTTTTGTTATATGATTCTTGAATTTACGAAGTCATGATACTTGAAATTATGTTTATAAATTACAAAGGAAATAGAGTAAAATCTTTTCTTTTTCAACTTTTTTCATTTACATTTCAGGAAATGTAAAATAACTATACTAATAAATAAACGGAAATTAGATTTTAACAAAAGTTTCTTCTCATTAAAAATGAAATGAGAGATTTGTGACTTGGACTCAATAATTAGAATATACAATCAATGAAGAAAATATGTGAACTTTTTTTTTTCTTAAATTACAATCTTTCATATTTTTGTACGATTTAGAAAGAAATTACAAATTTTCAATCAATAAAAAGTCTCATAGGCTTTTCCTATTCATATCTGCTCGTCCATTAAAATTGCTGAATCTTCATAATAGAGTTTCATACTTTAGTCGCCTTATTCATCATTTACATGGTTTTTTTCTATCTACGCATATCTAACAGGAAATGGAATCGACACAAAACATTCGAAATACAATTTTCTATCAATAAAAATTTCATTTTGTTTCTCAATAAATTTAGCTATCTATACATTACATGTATTTGAAACGATGGAAAACGATTTCTTCACAAATTCCACTAAAGTTTCAGAATCTTGTATAGCTTCACCTAAATCAAAAAAGTTATTAAAAATCAACGAAAAACAAAATATATTAATTATCTTTTTTGGTTTTCATTTTTTTCTTACCAAGTCGACTAATAACAGAAACATATGGATCACTATCTTTAACATCTTCAACCCATTCACTTGATGATAATAAAAAACGTTGATCTTCTTGTGATAACTATAAAAGAAAAACAATCAAAAAATAAGAATGCTTATTGTATATTAGAATTCTTGGTTAAAATGATAATGATAATATGTATGAAATCTAGTCAATATTATATTAAGATATATTTCGATGATATAACTTACGATTTTTTTAACTTTATCCATATCACGTTGTTTTAAAAACTGAGCATAACTACTACTAAGACTACTAAAACGAGCAATTCGTTGTCCACAATCTAGATTTGCTGATAATGAATTAGGAATAGTTGTTGTTGATTTATTGTTTGTTATTGTCACTGTCGATGGTAATTTTGGTATACGATCAAGACTAAATGATGAATATTGTGATGTTTGCTCGGAAATATTCAAATGAAGTCGAACAGAGCCTGTGGATTTCATATTATGTGACGCTATAGAATAATAATTAACTTAAGAATGGTCGATGATTTCTAGTACATCATTTTATTTTCAATATTCCATTGAGAGAAAATTTTTTATCTTGTCATTATTATTAATTATCATGTTTCACTCTATTTGCTAACAAAAAGTTAAGGAGAATCTTTTCTTCTCGGATTCTCTCATCCTTTTCTTTTGCTCTCTTTTTTTTCTGCTACACTTATTTCTGTAGCGCATCATTGTGTGTTGCTAAGGAAGACGTAGTATAACCAGCTGTTAGCTTAAAAATAGATAGAATCTTACAACAAGAAATATAAGAGACGAGGAAAAAAAGGCGGAAATAATGTACGCTGGTTCGACTTTTGCAGTTAGTATGACACATATATATATATATATATATGAAAGTATATGTGTAATGCTTGTCAGAACTAGTTAAAACTGAACACGACATATATTCACACAAAAAGATGAATTCATTCACGCACAATAAAGTCAATTTCCTTCTTGAAATAAGCTCAATGTTGATTCCACATGAATTTCTTTTCATAAATGTAAGAAAAAAGAAGAAAGAAATCGTCATTACATCTTTTGTATCACTGTAATAAGAATCATATCATATTTGACAAAGATTAAATCTTGAGATTTTTCTGTTTCATGACTTTGACATTCTAGTTAAACTTAGAAAATAAGAACAAACACAAAATATGCAAAAAAATAATTAGAGAAAAAAGTTTATTAAAGAAAAAAGAGAGACAAATGAATACAAAACTGTAATCTTATGTTTCGTATTCTATCAACATACTTGTATCGTAAAATTCAGTTGCGATTGATTTCATTGTGAATAAACCTCAGTACTAAAGATACCTAAATGAACGTAGGAGAACAAAAAATGCAGACTTTTGGTCTTTTTCTTCTAATTATTAATTTCTTTATGACACATTCTTCTTGTTCTTATAGCATGAATAGCTATTGTTCTTTAGTGCGTTCGGTACAAAGACATAAAAACAGATTACTGTAGCCTTTTATATGAGTAAAGAACACACTAATCATGTTTAGATGTTCAGACATATTAAATAGAGAATCTTATCAGAAAAATAAAACAATAAATAATTATAATATCTAAGACTATTAAAAGACTCCTATAAATCAATAAAAATTATGATTTTTATTACCAAATTTGTTCGATGTTTGTTATTAGTATTTGTACTAACATTAGCCATAAAAATTGTTGCTATTCCACCTTCCATATTTTGCATTGATGATCGTTGTCCTGTGGCATTACTAGATGTATTTGAATAATTAGATTGATATTTTGAATCTGATGTTCTTTTATCTTTAGATGTTAATCGTTTTTTTCGACGACCACTACTTTGACGTCTTGATGTTGTTTTTCGTTCACTTAAAAATGCTGTAGCTATATTAGCTAATGAAACATGACGATGTGTTGCTATTGGAGGTGAATCTTGACTTTTTCCCCTTGCTCTTAAATAAAGAAAAAAAAAAGTCGGTTTTTTTTCAAATATATTTTATGTGCAAATAAGTGAATGAATATGAAAACAGCAGAAATAATTGTTAATTTCCTTTATACTTGCAAAATTAAAAAAATCAGCGTTTTTCCTTTTTTTTATTATTTATTTATTTTTTAGGTTTGACTTTATATATATATATATATATATATATCATGTACTAACAATAGTTGTTTATAGATATTCAAGAACAAAATGAGCTCATGATCTTTTGTTTTTGTGATAAAAGTCTTTATTTGAATTCCTCAGAAGTGATCTAATTTATCAATATATTATATTTAAAAAAGTGAAACAATGGTTGATAAAGACTAATATAAAAAGTTAGTTAGATTGTGTTTTTTTTTATTAAAATTTTTTTCTTTTATTATTATTCATTGACTATAACTTGAACAGAATTTATCAAAGATAGATATTACATTGGTTATGTTTCAAATAATAAGTCAATAGATTTCTATTTTATCAAATTAAAGATAAACATCTCTTTTGAACCACTTAAGGTTTTCCGTGAGAGTATAACTAGTCGAAATTATGTTTGCGAAAACAAGTTTTATAAGCAGATCTTCAAAATCTATATGGTCTGCTTACAATGCTACTCTTACTGTGTGCGATTGAGTTGAAATTTTTTTCTAGAAGTGCGCGGGATAAAATCTTAGCGGTGTTCTTAAGCTTTTTCAAAAATATCAATTTCTCGATTTTTAATTAAAGAGATACGCGAAGCACCAGCTGAAAAAACGATTTATGAGTTGGTGCTTCCTAAATCTTTTTAAATCAAGAGATTGATATTTTTTCGAAAGCTTCAAAGTACCACTGAGAATTTTTCTCAGGTACCTCCAGAAAAATTTACAGTCAGATCAGACACAGTAATACCAGACTCATAAATAGACACGATGGTTTCTGAAGAACCTTTCAAAAACTTCTGAAGATCTACTTTTAAGATTTTTTCTGAGAACATGAATTCGATTATTTTCAAAAATATTCGAGTCCGACCGGTTATACTCTCGCGAAGAACAAGAAGTGGTTCAAAAGAGGTAGATTACGCTTAATATATTTTATTTAAATTTTCTCATAACAATAATCATATTCTTCCTTCATTAAAAATAAATCAATTTTGAGATCGATCAAAACAAATTTATTATTAATCTTTCTAAATCATCGAATGTTGATTCAAAACATCTGATCAATTTCTCACCAATGAATATTATCAAAATAAAAACAAATTTACATATTCATAGTTGCTTTTTTTTCTCTTTTTATAATATGCATAGTTTTCAATTATTTTTATTTCTATTTATTATTACTGCAGAATGTTATACTGTAGTAAATTCAACAACACAAACGACAATTCTTTTTATTCCACTTGATGAACGTTTTACAACAAGATCCATTGTATTAAATTTAGCTCGTCTTATTGACAATGATTTTGTATTATTAACACCACCCATAGAATTAATAAGTCATTGGAAACAACCAGCAAATACAAGTGTGCTTTTTCATTGGATACATGATCAAATAATAAATTCATGTTCAAGATCTACATCATGTTCATTATTAATATCAACTGAACAACTTATTTATGGTGGTCTTATTAATAGTCGAATAAGTAATACATCATTAGATGAATTAAATTCAAGACTTAATATATTAGTTGGATTTAAACGTGAATTTGGCTCCAAACTTCAAATTTATCTTAGTTCTGTTATCATGCGTATACCAGCATATAATGGAGATTTTGAAGAACCTAATTATTGGGCTACATATGGTCGTCTTATTTATTTATGGTCATTTTATACAGATCGATATGCTGTACTTCATAATCCAGCTGATGAAGAACAAGTTCAGATTTTAGAAAAACAAATACCATCGAATATTCTTAATGAATTCATCTGGCGACGTGCAAGAAATTATAATTTAACTTACACACTTTTACATGATTATACTAAACTCTATTTTGAACGTATTTGGTTAACACTTGACGATAATGCTGAATACGGATTAAACAAAGCTGAAGAAAGACAATTAATCAAATTAATTAATGATCCTTCAGTAAACATAAGTTCAAAAGTAAATATTTATCCTGGTGCTGATGAAGTTAGTTTAGCAATACTTAGTCAACTAGTTGTTAATAATAAACAACAACAATCATCAATACCAACAATTACTGTACGTTATAGAAATGTAACAACAAAAAATTATATACCAAATTATGAAGGAGCACCACTTAATGAAAGTATACTTAAACAAATAACAGCCGTCGGTGGACATTATATCGAATTTGATAATGAAACATCTGCTGATATTCTTGTTCTTGTTAATAATTGGTCAACTGATATGCAACAAGAAGCAACTCAAGTACAAACGTGTGAAGATTATTCTACATTAGAAATTCAAACAAATACATCTATTATTGTTTATGCTGATGTACGTTATAGTAACGGTGGTGATATTTGTTTTTCACAATGGATATTAAACCGTACACTATTTGGTACATATGCTTATGCTGGATGGAATACTAATGGTAATACATTAGGTACATGTTTAAGTAATGGTGTTTTACTGAAATATTATTTGAATTCGACTTTGAATAATCAATTAATAAATAGAGTATTAAAAGAAAATCGTCGTTTTACATTATATCGTTTCATTGAAGATGTTCATTATCAAGCTTATCTACGTCAACTTCTTCTAGGATATCTTACTTATATATCATTGGATCCACCAGATAAACTTAATAATGATCCTAACTTCTATGAAACATTTATTCAAAAAGGTTTTATATCATATGAAAATAAGATAACTAATGAATTTAATGTTAATAATGTTTATTATCCATGGAATCGAACATTTGAAATTGGTTTTCAATTAACAGATAATGAATCATTTTAAAAAATCTTCTTTTAAAAAATGATGATGTTTTAATAAAAATAATGATTATTATTATTATTCTTTTAGCCGAAAAGAGAAAAACAACTTCCATAAAAATTAATTATTCTATATTGAAAAAAAAATTCAATCGATTATTTATTGTTATTACCTTTCCCATGTTGCAGGCGATGTTCCTCGTCTTGAGCTTGTCATTGTTGTTCACAGCTTTTTTTTTAAATTATAAAAATGAATCAACATGAACATGTTGTTCTTGATAATAATAATAGTTATCGTCTATCTCATTATCTTTTTATGGTTAGTTTTACTTTTTTTTTCTCTTTCTTATTTCCTTTTTGTCTCGAACTAATTTTCAAGGAATAACGATATACGATACAATGAGATGAAACGTAAAACAATTTCTTTTTCTCTTGTTTTTTTCAAGAAAAATATCATTCTTACGCACGCATGAACAGCATTCACATTTTTTTTAAATCTAAAATTATTATTTCAACCGTGCCTACATGTATAGTATCTAGAATAACCTGCTTTTTTTTTCCATATGCTTCTATTTTCAAGATTCATTATTATGAGTATTGTTAACAAAAAAGAGTAAATGAGAGACAATCTTAGTTTCTTTCATATGCAAAAAATCTTTCTATCAATCTCTATGTGCTTAATGGTTGATGAGAAAACAAGTGATAAAGCTGTCCAAAAACACAACCATGTGTGCCCTCATCTATAAAATTATCAATACTCAAATATAAATGCTGGTTTCTTTTTCATCATTTCTTTTTTGATAAAACTGCTTATACATTAGAAATGAAAAGGCACGCACTTTTTTTTTGTTTTATTACTCACCTACTATCTTTTGATCCAAAGTGATGCGTCATATTAAAGAATCCTATGTAAAAGAAAAGTTTAATAATTAAGATTATTTGTTTTTAATTTTAATATGGTTGAGATTATTTTCAGGAAAACAAGAAAATTTATAATTTTTAGTATGAAAGAAAAAATATTGAATTATTTGCAATTTTTATGATTATTTTTATGATTAAATCGATAATCACCGGAATTAAAAATAGAAATAAATGAATATATAGAGGAATTTTCAAGTATTAATTTTTTCCGTAAATGTTTATCTTGTAATTTAAAGATAGGAAGATAGCATTTTTTATGATGAATGGGAAAACTTAAATAAGTAGACGTCCATAATCTTCACTGGAGATAGTTACCTGATAGTAGTTGACACGTTCGCTACTAGAATAAAATTATGATAATCTAACCCAATGATAAAAATGGTGAGTTGTCATCATCAGCACATCTTTTTTTTTCAGTATCGTGCAGTTTCCTTTCTTTCATCCGTCTTCATTTTTAATTCTCCTTCTTCTTTTTTTTCTTCTACTGTTTCTTTAGTTTCTGTGTCTCATCGGATGCTAATGATAATGACGATAATTTTCAGCTTCGTTCTCTTTTTGTGTCTGTCGGTTTGAAGACTAAGAGCACTCTTGCTTGGAGTAAGACTTCAATACGCATCATAAAATTTGTTTTGTTCGTTTTTTGTCTCATTTTCTTTTTGTTGCTGTGATCATTCATGAATAAAAGGTGTTAGAAACAGATTCCATTCGATGAATTTATTTTTATCACATTCTAATTTTTATTGACGTACATCGTCAACGAAAGCATTAGTAACACCTTTTTTGTTCTTATATTTTTACATTCTATACAAAAAGAAAAATGTGAATCTTTTTTTTCTGGTAAAACAGAATAAAAGTGTTTTTATTTATATTAGAAACAAAGCACTTAGACACGAAGGAGAAAATCAAATCATTGTATGTTAGTTTTTATTGCATATTAATGATTGTCTTATTTTTCTTTTTGTTCATCTTCAGTTAATATTTTTTTGACAAGTTGATCAAGTTTAAATAAGTGTTCATCGTCTATTGTAGTTATTGTACGTATAGCTTCAGCTAATTTAAATAAATATTCACGATTAGAACCACTTGGTCCATGTGCTCGAGCTATTTGTTCAGCTATTTGATCTAAAGGTGCATCACCACCCCAAAATGGATTATTGGGTTGAGCCATATATGTATAACAAGCTAATTCTGTTTGTTCATTATTAGTTGGATAAAAAATTGTTTCAATAATTGTATAACCATCTTTTTCACGTACATCAAGCACATGACGTACACTTACTTCATCTTCATTTGATATTTCATAGGCAGCACCATAAACATAATCCTTGATGCATGAAGAAAGAAACTTCATCATTGCATTTTATAATGTAGAGTGGAAATATCCTTCATATCTTGCAGGACATTATGACATATATATATAAGTAAGATTAGATTAAATTAGATGATGTCTTGTCTAATACACCTTTTCCTATTTAATTATTTGTTTCTATTTATATTTTCTGTGGTATTTGCTTAAATATAGTAGTTTCTTATGTCTGTAAGATTATATTCTCATCATATAATAGAATATCTAAGTAGTAAAGACAAATGATATCAACACTGCTCAAAACCATGCATGCAGGTGTAATGCATGTCTTACGCTATCAATTTTTTTGTTTGAGAACAACATAGGATTCAAATATTTGAAAGAATCATATGTCGTAGATAATTCTGAAACGTAATATCTTGCGTCAGAGAATAGTTATGAAATATTTTTTCTTATTATATTGAAAATTATTTTCTTTTTTTGTACAAAATAAATACAAAAAAAACTCAAGGAGGAAATCTTCTCGGACGTTTCTTTATGATTTCAATAACTTTTTGCCTGCACCACGGGTTATAATGTTCTTACGAATTGCTGCAGGACATGGTTTTTCTTTTCTAAAGAGTTATGCTTCTCACATCTTAGTAGATGCTCAGATCCATGCTATATACAATTCATAGTATTTTAGTAACAATTCTTGGAGGATTTCAGCTCTTCTTGTTATTCGATGGATCTATTGAACTTTTATTATACAATTGATGATAAAAAAGTCATTTGATAAACAGGTTCATTCATTTTTCAGCCTGCTAAAGAAGTCTGTAAAAGTTTGACAACGTTGAATTAGAAAACGAGTTTTACGTTTAATAAAATATGGGCTCGAAATTTTTCTAAGAGTTATGAGCCAAACTTTAAGAGTCGCGAATAGTCAATTCAGACAGAAAAAAATGAATATTCTTTGCAGCAATAGTCTCTTTTACTACACACATTATATTACCAATTTTTTAACATAGAATTAAAGGCAAAACTATTCTCTACAATGTGACATATAAATCGAAAATTTCAATAATGACCAGATTTACTTTACAAGTCTATTTTCCATAAAAACTGAAAAATATGTGTAAATTGACATGATGTTTCTTACATCGAAATACTCACTATCGAAAACTGAGTTCCAGTAAAGTGATCATTAGTACAGCATTTTTGATCGAGAGAGATTGGCTCTTTCATTCTCTATATCTGAAAGAATTTTTGTTTCTACTTTGACTGATTTTTGATGTGCTGAAGTTCGGCAAAACTTGATTTACGAGCCTCAGAAACGTCGATTCATTACTCCTAAATCAAAAAACACTTGAGAAATTGTAAGTCCATATCTGAAAAAAATCCAAAGTTTTGATTCTAACCAATTGTTTTCAGATATTTGGAAGCTTCGTTAAAACGACTGAAAAGTGAATGAAACTTTTATGTCTAATTATTTTTCAATCACCCATTATCTATTTTATAGATCCCTTCTGTAGGTCTCGAGTTTTCGAAAAACTTATACTTACGAATTTCGTTCTCAAATAACTTCTATTGAAAGATCTCTCATAAACTGGTTTGAACAATTAGTTTCAGAAATCTCTAGAACTCTTATCTAGAAGATACGATGTTTTCAAGTAATAGAAGCTTTTCTTAAGAGTTGTGCACAATAAAAGAATATTTTGAAAAGTTTATATTTCGAACATGGAGGTTCTTTGTTTTGACTAATGTATAAGAGACTATTAGATGACAGATTTTTATGACTTTCTCGAAAACTTGAGTACTACATAGAGTCTCTATAAAATAGACATCTCATAAAAGCTCAATAGATCCACTAGACAGTAACAAGGGTCGAAATCCTTCAAGACTTTTTACTGTAATACTATTTAATACCTTCAAATAATAAAAAAAATCATTGAAATCGGAAAACGTAAACCTGAGGAGCTTGCCTGATGAGCACGTTTAATTAACGTCTGGAAACTTTAATCAAAGTTATTATCATAACGATAAATAAAAAAACAGTTTCTAATATTAAATGATTACTTTATGAATAATTTTCTCTTAGCAATTATCCTAAAGAGTCAAGGACTTCATATTTTGTTAATGACTCCTTAAGATGAGTTCATCATAAAAATGTAACTAGACAAACAGTTGCCTAACCATGTTCAACAAAATAAACAGTCACTTTTAAATCTACATATATCAGAAAAATTCAAAAATTTCTCAAGTTAATTTTCGATAGAAAAATTATTCTCAATAGAATCGATAGAAGACCAGAATGAAATAAAAGTGCACACTTAAATAAACATTGCGTGCGTCACTCATGTAAATTATCTCATGTAATGCTCGCACTATCATGAAACACTTCTATAAATTATTTAATAATCATATTCAAGGTTTAAATCACAAATTTCGAAATAAGTATCTAAAAAGACAACTGTTGTATCAAAATATATGAAAGCAATGATTCTTGCTCAAGTCTAACAAAGAAACATCGTAATTGCATAGCAAAAAACAATGTCATAAAAAATGTCATTCATCAAAAATGAAACCATGTTCACATATCTAATTCAATCTTTGTAGTTTTGTTGAAATATTAAATAAATGAAGTTAAAACTAAACGTTCGGAAATGTTTAAAATTTTCCTCAATTCTAATTTCTTCTGCAATATACAGTGAATTACAAAATTATTTGACCAATTTTATTTTCATTTTTTATCTACTTTCGTCAACATTAATAAGAATACAGATAATTGTTTCTATAGAGAGTTTTATTTCCAACAAGAATTCTAGATAATGAAAATGGTTGCTAATTTTCTAAAAATATGGTCCATAAAATAATCGAAATTCAAATTTTCCATCATCTGGACTTTGCAATAGAATTCTTTTTTAATTATCTAGAATAATAGGTCACAACGTTCTCTACAAAATAAAATGTCTTTTAGCTCTTTACGATGACTTTTCAGCGACATACATCAATCTTATGGAAGGCATAACAGTTGCTTGTTCTACTATTTCTTATAGAAACATAGTTTTTGTGCCTTCAGTATGATTGATACGTCTCGATGGAAAAACGTTGTAGAGAACTGGAAAATATTTCGTTTTGTAGAGAATAATTTGTTCAATTATTCTAGGTAGTTAAAGCAGATTTCTGTTGTCCAACTTTTGTTGATGAAAAATTTGTATTTCGGATTTTTAGAGATCCTATTCTTGGAAAATTACCAATCATTTTTATCTACAAAAATTCTTGTTGGAAATAAAATTCTCTACACTAATCATTATTTGGATTCCTATTAACGTTGGTAGCAACGGAAAAGAAATTGAAAATAAGCGTGTCGAATAATTTTGGAAGACATTGTATATATCAGAGGTCTCCATGGATTGGGCCGATTTTCTTCGCCACAACCCAATCCATTGAACCTTCTTGTAATGATAATAAATAACTTTCACTAGCAAAGCAAGCCAAACTATCTGTTGAGAAGAATTGCCATTAGACGAGTGACTCATGGACATCTGTAGGTAGGCCATTGTTTTAAAAAAAACACCGTGAGCTTGGCCAGGCCAAAAGTTGATAATCCATGTGTCGACTTTCTTCGGCCGAGCTCAGTCCATTGAAACTTCTCGTGTATTAGTAATAGAATTATATCTCTTATATGGCATTACTGTTAATAGCGATCGTAGTGAACACTTACAGATTCATTTCCCGTTGAAATCAAAGTAGCTACTCGTCCAGGCTAAATAGAATAAATAATAATTTTATTTAAATTTCCAATCACTTGTGATGATTACTTTTCCTGGTATACCACGATGGTCTTCTGATAATTGCCAAAAACGTCGAATGAAACCTTTAACATGACCTTCTATTCGATTAATATATCGAAAATCTGGTTTCCATACAATCGAACCATATCCAAATATCCACATGAATAATCGAATAAAAAAAAGCTTTTTTTTTCTCTATTTTCTAAAGTTTAATTGTCAAAGATACAGAACAAAAGAAACAATGATGTTTTCATGTAAAATGCTTGTTTATAATATACAAATTGAATTGCGCGAACAAATAAATATACAATACAAAGCGAAAACAAAGGAAAAAAATTAATCATTAATCCTAATGCTTTTTTTTTGTTTGTTACAAAGTTGATCGCTAAAATAAATATATAATTTTATTGTTCTTTTTAATAATCTTGTCGTCGAACATGGTTTTGTGTTGATTCGAGTTTTTCTCCTTCATCTTTTGTTCCTGGTCGGCCTTCTTCTGGTGCAGGTAACTTTTTATCTGACGGTGTAACACCCCAAATTTCTTTAGCATATTGAGCAATGGTTCTATCAGATGAAAATTTGCCTGATGCAGCTATGTTTAATATAGCTTTTTTCGTCCACTCGATTGGATTCTATAAATTAATAACAAAACAAAATAAAATAAATCGAAGTGTATCTTTTAATATACTTTAAATAATTGCTCAACACGTTCATGTGCTTTAATATATTCAGCATAATCTGCAAGTAACATATAACTAAAAAAAAGGAAATCTAGTTGTTGATTTCTTTTTAATAAAAAATTAATCTTCAAACGTACCGATCATTTGAATCAAGTAAACTTTTAATAATATCAGAAAATAGATTTGGATCTTCTGGTGAAAAATATCCGTCTCTTATTTGATCTAATGCTCGTTTTAATTCTGGTTCACGTTCATAAAATTCTTTTGAGTTATATCTAAATAAAAAAAAGCAGAAGTTTTTTTTATAAATGAGAAATTAATTAATATGTTTTATTTGGTTTTACCCTTTTTCGTTTAATGCATCAACATCTTGAACTGTCATACCAAATATAAATATATTATCACGTCCAACTTCTTCATCCATTTCAACATTGGCACCATCCAAGGTACCAATAGTTAATGCTCCATTAAGCATCATTTTCATATTACCTGTACCGGATGCTTCCAAACCAGCCAAAGATATTTGCTCAGATAAATCAACTGCCGGAATAATTTTTTCAGCTTAAAAATAAAAACTTCGTGTATATATTTGTATGAAATAATTCAAATAATATCAAAAACAAATGAAAATGAAGTCTCTCTGCTTATGAAATCGATTTTTGAGTCAGAAATATGCAAATGGCATGAATTTTTCCGTTTGAAAGCACGGTGCTATCA